GGCTTCAAATGGGCAGAAAATACACATCAGGGTGGTAAGAGCAAGCAGAGATTCCTGAGGTCGCCTCCTTTGAATCCACAGAGGGAGTGTAGTCTGGCTGTGTCTCTCCTGACGTGCCCTGTATTTTTGGCTACGCTGGGTCCTGGTGCTGCCCTGACAGATCTTGCCCCCTTTTGCTCTTTGCCTCTCAAGAACATGGCCAAGAGCTATCTTTACGGTGCTCCCGGACACCCATTTCATCTTGCCCCTCAGTGGCTTGTCTTCATCTTACCCAAAAAGTATTGTTATGCTAGATCCGTAGGTGGACTTGGACTGTTGTGTTAATGGGAGCGGCCTTGTCTGGGTTGCAGGAAAGAGCTGAGAGCCAGCGCCAGCGTGAACAGCTGGACCGTCTGCAGCAAGACATGGGCACCGTCCCCATGGAGAACAGTCCAGCCAGCTCAGGTATGAAGGCATCTTTGTCAAGGCTTCCCTTGACAGTCGGAGCAGTTGTTTGGGGGCGGCAGGAGGTGACGAGCTAGTTCCACTCTGCATGTCCATTGAGGCCGATGGTGCAGCGAGTCTGTGGGTGGGGCTTCTGACTGTGTACTCTGTCCCCCTGTTCTGCAGCGCACTCCCCTGCATGTTTGTTGAAACCCAGTGAGGTCAGGAGGGGAGCAAAAATTATGTGCTGTGGCTGATTTCTTCCCCGCAGACAGGAGGCTGTCTGCGCTACTTTGGCAGGAGAAAGCAGCCACTGTTGCAGTCTTGAGTTTCATGCTGCAGTCCCCAGTGTGGCTGGGGACTCCCCCCCCCCCCCCGCCATGCAGTTTCTTGCCATTCTCTCCTGGGAGATTTCCCAAGTGGTCAATCCATCCCTTTTTTCCTCTGGGCCAGCGGCCGCTCTGCTCGGGCTGTGGGGAGCAGACGCAAGAGGCATGCTGAAAGGGGTGGTGGGGTGGTGGCAGCAACCCTGAGCCCCCTAGAGCCAGGGCAAAGTGAGCAGCCGCTTCATTGATTCTCCCAGGCTCAGCAGCTGAGGCTGCATCAGGCCCTTCCGCACTGATCCTGACACGAGGAACTTTGGAGGATGAGGACGAGGCCCCGGAGAGTGATACGGATGACGTTGACCATCAAGGTGAGGAAGGCTGTGTTGCATCTGGTGGCCGAGGGCCTCTGGTAAGGCTGTGCAGGGAGAACCCGGTGTGGCTCTCCCCTCAGTGCTTCTGGGCAACTGAGTTTCTCTCCAGAGCTACCTAAGGTGAAGGAGAGCTCTCTTTCTTTGGGGTGGACCAGAGAGGATGAGGGGGAATCAGAAGAGCAGGGTGAGTACATATATTGGCTACAAAATATTTATATTGCAGCTAATGACGAGTAGTTGACAACTGTGTATAGATCATGACACTATCTTGGTGTATCTGGAACCTCCTAAACATACTGTTTTTTGCCTTAATTTTCGATTTTGCGAGGGGAGTGGCCTTTCCAGAAAGGAGGGGCTCCATGACATTTGCAGCTTCATTAATAGCAGTGTCCCTGCATAGCTGAGTCATCCTCTTGTTGTGCTGTTCCAGTAATCAAATTGTGCCCTTCCCAGGTCCAAATGGCTTCTGGAGTATCAGATTCTGACTTCCATCTGACAGGGCTTCCTAGTTCCATTTCTGGTTCCAGTAAATGGAGGCACTTAAGGGCTACGCTTTAATGAGCCACTCTTGCATCACGACCTGCAGGCAGTAGCAGCACGACAAATGAAGGGGGTTGCAGTATGACATAAACAATTACACAATAGAACTACTGCAAATAGTGCAAATCATGCAAATTCTAATTTGTATTAATGCAACCATATTGAATCTAATCCACTGTACACTTATGTATAAGTGTACAATGGATTGGATTCAATATTGTTGCATTAATACAAATTAGAATTTGCATGATTTGCACTATTTGCAGTAGTTCTATTGTGTTTGGCAGTAGCGGCACGGCCACTGGCTGCTCAGTCATTCTTACACAGGTTCACATTTGGAAGTGGGTTCCTCCTCTTTGGGGCAGGAGGGGCGCTGACCCTCTTGACTTTCTTCTGTTCTCCCTCCTGGAAGGTGGGTGGGCACAGCAGGCTGCTGTGGATTTGAGTACGGCACCTTCTCCCATGACCTGCCCCTACCTTTGCGCTAGCTGTCAGGGGAGTGGGACAGAAGGGGAAGGCTGTCTTTCCACCTCCTCCTGCAGTGCTGGCCACTCTCAACAAGGGCATTCTCAACCCTAATGCTGTTGGTGGGGTCCACTTGGTCAGGGTTCCTGCTTCCTTCTGATGCAGTGTGTGCGTGCACATGAAAGCTTATACCCAGAATTAACTTTTGTGGGTCTTCAAGGTGTCACTGGACTCAAACATTGTTCTGTTACTTCAAGCCCACACGGCTACCCACCTGAATCTACTTCCTTTTGTTCCAGTGACCGAGGAAAGCCATGAAGAACCAGCCTTTAAAAACTTCTTGCAGGAGGCCAAACAGCGCTACCCAGCTAGAAGCAGCCACTAAGGGAAGAGGATGCCCAAATGGGTGGATTCAAGAACATGAGGATGCTGCAGAGCAAAACTGGTTGTATCCCCTCTGCCCAAGAACAGGCGGCATTGGCCTCAGTGACAATTCTCTGCCGGCCACACAGGGTTGAGTTCAGAACACTTCTGTTTAGAGAAGGAGCTGAACCGAGACTTGGGCATTCAGCACGGTTCCCCTTCCTCAGCCCTTGGCTTCCTTTGGACAGATGTGTGCAGCTGGTTTTCCACTTTTTTGTGTGTGAGGGAGGACAAGACAGCCTGGAGAAACCTCCCCATTCAGCAGGGTCGCAGGCAGTTCTGCAGATGGCGCCCAACCAGGGTTTCAGCAAGGACTCGGGAACGGTGTGTGTGCCTGTCTCCCAAAGTCCATGTGATTTGATTCCCATGCATGGTTGATTTTGGTTTTTTTTTCTTTTGTAACTTATTATAAAATGTATATTTTCCCATTAAGCTCTGGTGGCTGGTTGGCTGTTCCTTTGAACTGGGTGGAGGGGTAATTAAACAGCCCTGCATCTTCCTGCCGCAACAGAAGCAACTGCCCCGAATGACAGGTTAGCACAAGAAAGGCCATGGCAGGAAGGTTCACTCCCCAAGCTGCTTTGGTATGGATAGCAGAAAGCAGCATCCAGAGAATCTTTTCTTTCTTTTTGAAAAGATCACTGTATGGTCCTAGAGAACCCCACTCCTGCTCTCAAGTGCCGAAACCACAGCCACCTGTGGAGCCTGAAGGGGTTCTAGACCTTTTACCAGAGGCTTTCAGCTTCTCAGGTCCTCTGAGGTTACCTGCATGTACTCAGTAAGTAACACTGGACACTATAAGGTAGAAAAATATTCCAGTTTTAGTAAACTGCTCAGGTTACAAAGAGAAAGGGCAGGAGCCACTCTTAAGGCACAAGCAATGGCAAATAGAAGAAAGAAAAATACTGAACTCAGGTCAAGGTTTCCCTTTCTTGAAAGCAAGTCAAATCCGACTCAAGGGTGTGGTGCTCATCTCCATTTCCAAGCTGAAGAGCCAGTGCTTTCCAAAGACGTTTCCATAGTCATGTGGCCGGCATGACTAGATGCTGAGGCGCACGGAATGCTGTTACCTTCCCACCGAAGCGGTACTTATTGATCTACTTGCAATTTCTTGCTGTCGAACTGCTAGGTTGGCAGGAGCTGGGACCAGAGATGGGAGCTCTCTCCATCATGCGGCACTCGGGTCTCGAACTGCTGAACTACTTACCTTTCGGTCTGCGTCTTAACCACTGAGCCACCGCATCTTGCTAAAAGCTTGCTGGCTAGCTCGTCAGGTGCAGGTCCGTCGCAGGTTCTTACTTCTAGGCATGAGAGAGAAAGTCCATCTCTTGCCAGACAGTCCATGTCATTGGGGGGGGGGGATAGAAGATGGAGCCTCTTCTCACCTGTTGATAGAATAGCCAGCCTGCCGCTCTCTGAGTGAGGCATGTTTTCAGATGTCCTTGACTCAGCCCATGAATCCATTAGCCAATCAGGACATGCTTAGCTAACTGGCACTGGTTGGTTGAAACAACTTAGGGAGACTCCCAAGGAGGTTCTCTAAACAGCCAACAGCCGCAGGTGAATGTAGTTAAAACACGCACATTGCTTTTAGCAGGCTGGGCCAGGGGCCTGCCAAAACTTACAGCCTAAGAAGAGTGATAAACCTAAACAACATAAAGGTTTAATGGTGGCTATTCCTTACAATCATGTTTCTAGCCCTCGTGGTTACCTTGAAAGTATGTGGGAACCAGCTGGGGGGTGGGGCCTTCCTGGTCCCATGTCACTCAAGGTCCTCTCTTGGTATACGTCAAAAGGACAAGCGAAGAGATCCAAACGTGGCTTGTTTATATAGGATTTTGAATTCAGCTTTGTTGTCTCAATTGTGTGATTTTTCTTAGTGCCTATGGATTTCCATAGAAGCTGTCCCCACTGTCTTGGGAAAACAGCAGCTGTTCATAGCTTCTGTTGCCCCACAGAGTTTGGGGAAGAGGATTGTTAACCTTTGCAGAATCTCTTTGAGACAACTTCTGTGGAGGAAGGATCCCTGCAGGTGTAGACTTGGAATCTGATCTAAGAGGTATTACCTCTATCCTCCCAGCTTCAGTCTTGGTACCTGAAACTGGATTGAACAGCGAGATCAAGGAGACCTGGAGTCTGAGGGGTCCTCGAAACTTGGGGTAAATGCTGCCGCCAGCCTGTTTTGGGAGGAAAGCCATCTGGATGCAAGTGAAAAGCATCCCCTAAGTACAGTGATGTCATAAGAACATAAGAGACGCCAATGTTGGATCAGGCCAAAGGCCCATCCAGTCCAACACTCTGTGTCACACAGTGGCCAGAAATACCAGGTGCCATCAGGAGGTCCACCTGTGGCGAGGACATTAGAAGCCCTCCCACTGTTGACCCCCCCAAGCACCAAGAAGACAGAGCATCACTTGCCCCAGAGCCCCTATCTATACCTTGTGGCTAATATCCACTGATGGACCTCTGCTCCATATGCTTATCTAATTCCCTTTTGAAGCCGTCCATGCTTGTAGCCGCCACCACTTCCTGTGGCAGTGAATTCCATGTGTTAATCACTCTTTGGGTGAAGAAGGACTTCCTTTCTCAGTCGTCTTTTCTCCAAGCTAAAGAGCCCTAAGCGCTTTAACCTTTCCTCATAGGGAAAGTGTTCCAACCCTTTTATCATTCGAGTTGCCCTTTTCTGCACTTTTTCCAAAGCTATAATATCCTTTTTAAGGTGTGGTGCCCAGAACTGCACACAGTATTCCAAATGAGGTCTCACCATTGATTTATATAGGGGCATTATGATACTGGCTGATCTGTTTTCAATACCCTTCCTAATAATCCCCAGCATAGCATTGGCCTTCTTTATTGCAGTCACACACTGTCTCGACATTTTCAGTGAGTTATCCACTACAACTCCAAGATCTCTCTCTTGCTCAGTCTCTGCCAGTTCAGACCCCATCAATGTGTATTTATATTTAGGATTTTTGGCTCCAATGTGCATCACCTTGCACTTGGCCACATTGAACCCCATTTGCCATGTTGACGCCCACTCGCCCATCCTTGACAGATCCCTTTGGAGTGCCTCACAATCCTCACTGGTTTTCACCACCCTGAACAACTTTGTATCATCCGCAAATTTAGCCACTTCACTGCTTACTCCCTGTCATAGCAGGTTAGGGCCGCTTCAAGGAAAAAACCAGAATTTCAACCTCCAAGCTGAAGTCAGAGCATCAAAATACATTTACTGAGAAAAGGCTCACTTTAAGTAAAAGGTAAAGGTTTCCTTGCTCGACAGCCAGTTGAGTCCGACTCTAGGGTTGCGGTGCTCATCTCCGTTTCCAAGCCGAAGAGCCAGCGCTGTCCAAAGATGTTCCTGTGGTCATGTGGCCAGCATGACTAAACACCAAGGCGCGCGGAACGCTGTTACCTTCCCACTGAAGTGGTACCTATTTATCTACTTGCAATTTCTTGCTTTTGAACTGCTAGGTTGGCAGGAGCTGGAACTAGAGATGGGAGCTCACTCCATCATGCGGCACCCGGGTCTCGAACTGCTGAGCTACTGACCTTCCATAGCCTGCAGTTCAGCGTCTTAACCACTTGAGCCACCGCAACTCCATCACTTTAAGTACAGATGGGTATATTTGCTTCCTAAGTGGGTCATCAACTAGGTGGTAGCAGCTTGGGGAAAGCAGGCATCCATTCGTGAGGCTGCAGAGTCCAACTCGCAGTATGCATTTCCCCCCTGTCCCTACTAGTGGCTGTGACAACAAATCAGTCCCCCTTGCCCTGCTTGCTGAAACCAACTCGAAACTGTTGTCAGTGCTCACGTGGCAGGAGCTGCTGCTACTCCCACAAAAGAGAAATGTTCTGAGAACTGTGGATCACAGGGCTGTCGATCCCCTTACTACAACCTCCAAGCGGCAGTGTAAGAACAGACTTGTGTTTTTGGTTATTTTTTTGAAAAGCCAATTTAAAGCCCATGCTAGAAAGCGGTGTGTCGTTCCCCCACCCTTAGTGTTTGGAGATGCTCTTCACGAGAGGGGTGACCCACTTACGATCCCTGGATGCAAATGTGCCTCTAGGGCGTATTTCAGAAATCACGGGCTGCTGTAGCCTGTGTTCTAGAGAACAGCTGAACTAAAGTTATTTTATATTGTGTTTTAATGTGGTTTTAATTGTATTGCATTTTATACTGTTGGAACCCGCCCTGAGCCCGTCAAGGGGAGGGCGGGATCTAAATCCAATAAATAAAAGTAGCATCAGCAGAGAAACAATTGGGCATTTTTGAGAATATTAGTTTAGAAGAAATAAATATAAAGAGGGGAGATGTCCTGAGCCTCGTTCAGCTTAGTTGGAAGATACCTATGTGCCTAGTAAGCCCAGTCTGGCAGGAATGATGCCTTGCTTGGTAGACAGGCACCAGGGCTGCGTTGAAATATGTATTTGTGCTTGCAAAAAGGAGCTATCGGAGAAATGGGGGTTTGGGTGTAGCAACTACTGCAGTAAGAACAAGAATGTGGCTCAGAAAGTCAAGCTGACCAGTGGGCAGATCTGTTAAAATATCTCCATTTCCCTGATGAGCATGTGAAGCTGCTTTAGACAGAGTCAAACTATTGGTCCATTTAGCCTGGACCATCTGTGTTTGACTGGCAGTGGGCCAACAGAGTATTTGGGCAGTGGGGCAACTTTCCCAGATCTGCTGCCCTTTAAGCCAGAATGCAGCTTTTCACGCCTGGAACCTTCTGCTTGTATGGCAGGTGTTCTGCCACTGAGCTGCATCCCGTCTATAGTCTCCTTGTGGCTTGCTGTTCTTCCAAAGGGGGTGGTGGTCATCTGATCGTTAAAAGTGAGAAACTAGAGCTGCAATCAGTGTCAGGAAATGGGGAAGGCGCCTTTCATCACATTCTACTTGCCAACATTGTGAGGACCTCTGGATAGCTGCAGCCACCAAGGAAAGAATGCAGGGCCAGACGAGCCCTTGGAATAATCAATCTGGACTTGCTGGTAGGTGGACAGTATGGATCACAGTAGTAGCTCCAGTAGGTCCCAGGAGCTTGTTCGGCTTTCAGCCATCCTGGTTGGTCTTGGAGAATCACACCTCCTTGGGGCAGCAGCTCCACTAGTGTGGAGAGCGCCTCCTATGCTACGAAGCTTGCTGCTGGTCATGGGCTAGATCTAGGGTTTCCAACTCTGGGTTGGCAAATTCCTGGAGATTTGGGGGCAGTGCCTGGGAAGGGGAGGGAGCTCAGCCGAAATGTTTTATCGTAGAATCTGCCCCCAATGTTGTCATTTCCGCCTGTGGAAGGGACCTCTGTAGTGTGGAGATGAGCTGTAATTCTGGGGGGACGCTGCAAGCCTCCTTTAACCCAAGCTGGCTACTTCCCCCGATGGTTTGACAGCAGCTGTGGCCACGTGAGAGCTCCCCAAAGCTCCT